GTATCCGTATAAGAATGAATTAATGTCAAAGAATAGAAACTCTACCGAGTTCTATCAATCTTCAAATTACTAATCCAGCGTATAAATATTGCTTTCAGGTCTCTCGTAGATGAGAAGATTTAGGATATGACATGACGTATCTTCACGCAAATGAAACTAGATCATGTTCCGCTCGATCGTGCTCTGTCAACATAAAATAATCATCCAAATCAATAACCATCGAAGATAATGAGTAGCTAGTAGTTTTGTCCTGTACTACATTCAATCACATTCGTGACTAAAATGTACAATCAATATTTAGTGTCTAATGAACACGTCATCAAGAAACAGGAAACATAATCTGTATTTATCAACTTCGCTTACAACGTATGTTTTCGCAATCCTGACATGGGATCAATTCTTCAACTCAACACCACTGTTTCCTACTGATTTGCCGACCGTTTTTTACATTGCTTCGATATACATCGTAAAACTTACCGTCCTGCGTGCCGTCATCATTCACGAGTACCTTCTAAATTCCATCCGATGTCACATCAATAGATTTTACTGAGATGGGTATGTAATGATTATTATTATATCCACCATTGCGTTCATTAATCTGGATACACAGTTTATTGTTCATAGTTGTTTTAGTTATCAATGTATGCATCCAAGTATTTCTTAAATCTTTGAGGATTTATATTTAATAACCTATGAGAAGTATATAACAGCTCTGACTCGTCTTATATCACACTGCATAAAACTCGAACAGTGATCTTGTTTTAGATTTCGCAATAAGCAGTGAAGTACATATGAAAAAAAACAGGAACACGACTGTATTCGGCAATGGTTTATACGTGAGTTGCATATTTTTGTATTGAACGGTTAAAATAGGGTTATTACAGTAATTTTATGTTTTCTCAAGATTTGTGTTTTTGTTGCACTGTTATATGTTGTTTAGCATATATTCTCATCAAATGTTGTGTCTTAAAGACATAATTTGTAATTAATGTTTATTTCAAGTAATTTCAACGCTACTCATAGAGAGAACAATATCTCCCTTTTACTAGAACAATATTACCACCGAGAAAATGTTTATATTGCGTGATATTTTGCATAATTTGCAAGAATGCACAGCTCCACGCATGTTTAATACAAAATCATTCCCATTGCTGGGTAAAAAGTCACCCGTGGGAATAATGCCTGTAAAAAAGTACGTGTATGTGGAATCCATGTCTTCGATATTTATAGGAGCTGTCAGATTTAATACTTTATTTTGTGTCGATAGCAAGGAAGAATTTTAACAACTGTCTTACTGTATATGATAAAGGTGAAGATGTTATCGTCGTACTTTGCTATTCTGTCAGTCAAAGTGAGCCTCGGCAAATAACACAGCATAAGTGAATTAGGCGAGGAATTCAATTAATTTCCTCGTCGGCATATATATCTTAATTACGTAACCAAAATCGTGTATCTTATATAAGCAGTGACGTTTTGATTTTATTATTAGTGCGCACATTTTCTCCTATTACAATTGGTTCACTTTAAGATAGCAACCGTATGGAATCTACAACGATATATCCTAAACTTAGTCACGAATGTTTAAATGTTTCGTGACCAGACTGTACGTATTGCTTCTCATAAGGTAAGGACTACATACACTCACTTTCAGCTGTTATAAGTTTAGCTTATTCATGTGTGTTCCATAATTGCTTTGCAATTATAGAGTACTGTGTATTCGGTTTGGTTTTAAATTATATCAAGTGTACACATATATCCGGATACAAGGCATGGCTTTTCATAGTATCGAGAGCCTATCAGTAACGTCTCAAACTTGCAAGCGTATATTGATCAAAACTTAGAAAGCGTTCCAGGCAGATAAGCCAACTGTGTGTGGTAATGCACCAGAGGGAATTAATCAAACTTAAGTACTGCTTACCGACAATGTTAATATCTGGATGTTAAACACAGTTTACTGGAAGGAATACATGTAGGTCGATAATAAAGCGTAGCATTTCGGAGAAAGTAGATAAACAACATGATTACCTAGATTGCACGATGTTGTTTTAGGTGAAATTGGAGAGGTAGAGCACAGAATGTGTTTTGATTATCGATGATAAGTACATCTTGTAGGAATTGTAATTTACTGTATTACCGAAACGCCAGTGGCACGAAAAGTTGACATTCTATAGTCTTTATGGAAGGCACATACAAATAATTAATTTTGATAACGCAAATACACACACCAGTGATGATGTTGACGCCGATAAAGAAAATTCCTAAAGGACAGACCAAATGAAGTTATTCGCACTCAAATAAAGTGATGCAAACGGTAGTTATAAAAAAAAACTCTAGTACTTACATGAATAAATTTGAAAGATAAAAGATATATAAACTGCTATACTGAATAAGGAAGGTATTACGTAACATGATGTGTGGCATACTCGAACATAGATTATTTTAATTCGATGATTTATTCGAATATGTGTTAGGTGACTTAAACGAACAAATTGGGAACTTTGCCAACAATATACCAAGGAAAAGAACAGTACTTTCTTGTTGTGCCAACATGAGTATTATATAACATATTAGCTCATGTGGTGTTATAATAAGCTCATGTAGTATAATAATTATTGCGTTGGGTTTTGATTGAAAGTTGACCATGTAGAATTGCAATTTAATTGAAGTTGAATTAAACAAAATGTAATAAAGTAGAAGAAATATTATATATATTGTAACTTAACATACAAATTTATTGTAAATTATACCTTACATCTTTGCTTGCCCAAAGCTATGCAAAATAAGCCGAATTAACAATTAATATTATGTTTTTCAAAGACTAGGAAAAAGTATATCGGTACCTACAGTGTAATTTGTGTTACAGGTATATATGAAATAATCTAATTATATCCCAGTGTTAGTACGTGTATATACAGTTCATGAACGTTGTATGAAATCATCAAACCATAGGAAATATGAACCCTATGTAGTACTAATCCTTTTGTTGAGGCAATCTTAGCTGTCACTTCGCTGATTACAAATACTGCAGGCATCTATAAACCGTCGTCAATAATGGAAAGTCATGTGAGCGCTTTTCGCTTCCGCTGTTTATAATCGGAAAGAATAAGAATAATCAGATAAGAAATTTTAAACACGATAGTAAAACATACAATGTGTTATCGTATCAAACATACATACACCAACAAACTGAAAGTGAAAAGTAGACAATACGCAAAGATGATCTGTAGACTGTGGCTTTCTCTACACAGAATTGTTTATCCTCAAGTGTCGATTGTACTGTAATTTCCCATGAGTGGTTGAGCTTTATACACTTAAACGCTTAACAAGAAATGCGAGAGTCTAATTAGTAGTAGTATCTATTATATGATAAAAATAAAGGCAGTGCCAACCATTTTACACACACGATACACTTATGCACACAATTCATAGTCAATAATGAGTTTAACGTGTATATACAATTCACACATGTAACACACACGTGTTCACACAACATACTTCATTATTTTTCGCGGTCAGTTAAATTACAAAAATCCTTGCATGTGTGAAACGAAATACATTTGTTTGATTATCAAATCTGTATGTTAAATAAGAAAAACTGATAAGCTTATATACCGAGCACCTTTTTCAATTCTTTCTATATACGCTCAATTATGGTTTTCAAGCCATGTATTACGGGTAAGCTTTCAGGGCACATCGGCAATACAATTACAAGGCGACGAGTGCACACTAACTTAATATATAGAGAAATGCGTAAATGCGAAACGTCTTTGGGGTAATTCACTTAAGTCACTTACCATTAAAGAACTTGCGGCGATTATATAGGCAGCTAAGATGGCAAATAACAGTTTCTGTCTACGGATAGTATAGAGTGTGAACACGATTTCTTCATTAATCAAATAAGAGCGGCGTTATTAAATTGGTCATATTGAAACGTTCTAAAATATTCAACAAACCAAAATATATTAAGTGTGATTATGGTGGCCACACTTACGTATTAGTATTTCCTTGACTTCTGTATGCATAAAATACAAAGTAAAAATAGTAAGTACACGTTTGAGTTCATTGAAGGCACTCCATTGTCCTAACGTTAACGTGTTCCACGTTCGTTTATATCACGTGAATATATTTACCTCAAATAGTAACTAAATTTTATTCGTTTTAGCGTTTTCAATCACGAATGGCTTGCGTTATTACCTAGGAGACATGACTTTACCATAGTTAATCGACCACATACAGCCAAGACAAAACTAGTCGAATCAAATTTCCCTACCAATTAACGAGGTAATATGAATAACTTGTGACACGGAGAGAGCACAATAATTACAACCTCGAAGTTAAAGTAGGGTCAAACGGGCTCGTGAAATGTTTTTTCTTAAAAGGGTGCACATTGTTCTATCAAATGGATGACATACAAGGATGACTCCATTTATAGACAGAACAATGATCGACTGCGCATGTCTGTTAAACATGAGTGGCGGTGGAATATGTACATGGGCCTTTCCGTCACAATAAAGCGCACACTCGTGAGAGTGTAACTCTGTTTTAAAAACATCCAGAAAAAGACAGAAATATACAACGCACACATTGCCGAACGGGTCATTTGCGCAATAGCACGCCTACAGTTTTAGACTCCTTCATTGAACGGGGTTCATAGCGTGATAGTAACATACCAAACCATACGTTTCACATATACAACCACGAAACATATGCAAACGATATCAAGGCGGTACAAATGCATGTGCTATTGGCTATAAAGTCCTTTATTGAATACACAATGATGTTCTTTCATTCTATTGATGGGACTCCCCTGCGACAATAATGGGGCATTCCGTTCAGTGGTGTATGTGATGTGCATAGCGAACACATATATTGGCATCAAGCGTTCGCTGAAACACAACATCTAAAGCTGAGATCGAGCTCGTTTCAACATTACCGATTTCATAACTCAGACAAAGAGTTTGAGTTGATGTTTTTTATCAACTACTAAAGTCGTGATAACCATGGCAGAACTGGATCCCGATATGTACCCGAACCTCAACGATATATGGCCATCTGATAAACCAGATGAAGACGAAGGCGCGCCGAGTACGAAGACAGTGTCCATTATACTGCTGTATCTAGTAGTGTTCATAATTGGTGTCACGGGTACGTACGCACGGAGACAATTATATTTATGTACCATCATTTGTCATGTATACATTAACTTGATGATTCAAATCAGAAGTCATAATGTTTACTTACCCGAACAATATTATCAATGCAGTTTGTGGCTCAAGTTCTCAATAGCAAATATGATATATATTGCTTCATGTCTAAAGTGTGCAATTTCCAATCAAAGAGACGTATTGTTTTGGATCATTGTTTCCACAGTTCAATAATGACATTATTGAACATTGATAGACGCATTACGTATACATTATAGTTGTTTTTACTGTGCAATCATTAACACATTTTTAGATGGATATTTTGTTTAATCACAGGGACACACCTGCATTACTGCATATATAGAGGCAATCAAATATTCAATTATTATATATTGCAATCAATATATTACCTGTTGAGTAGCTCGTTAGCAATAACCACCACTTTGTACACACAATAAAACCGCTGCTTAAAAGGCAACATCGGTTGTTTACGATGTGTATGTAACACATTATTAAGTCGGAAAGTATTACGATATACACCTGCAGTCATTCCGCGTCAGTAAATCAGTCACCGCAAAGATCGATCAAACAATATAAGCATTATGAAAATAACGCAAAGTATACTCGAGGGCAGGATTGTTGTTGCATCAAAGAAGAAGACTTTAGTATGATATAGGAGACCAAAATGCCAGAGAAATTTATTTTAATGTGAATCGTGCATGTTCGATCGTAGACAATGAATGACACAATTCTAGAATACTAGTTGCTTGCTTACGTTCCACGTGATCTAACTCTTATCCGTGCTCACCAGCGTTGAAAGCGTACACTAATGAAGCAATTGGTATATTCATTTTACAGTATTAATAAAGCCTCATAATGTATGTAATTAGTTTTACACATGGATCCTTAATATATAATCCCGCTTCAGTGCTTTCATTTTATGCATTCCTCATCGATTGTGTGTGCCATTTCACGCGCTGTACACATGCAATAAATATGATAAACTGCCAAGGCTGGCTCCAGCTTTTATTGAATATTTTCTCCTTTTATTATTTTATCTTAACCAAGTGGGTGGGCCAACTTGAAAACCCAACGAGGACATTTGTTTGTACCAAACACAGTGTATATTCCGGAGCGACTATATCAATATTAATAAACGTGTACGCAAATGCTTTATTATTATTATTTGTTTTCGCATATGTTAAATCTCCATTTTGTATATATATATATATATACATAGATATACGCTAGCAAATATCAAAAGGCACGCCGGATATCATCTTAACATCTCCGATTACAATACCTGGTAAATTATGCGTCACTAATGCGGATAGATAATAGGGGATTATACTAAACCTTCCCTAGACACGTTGACAGCTGAACTGTCTCATCAGTCTCCCGGCAGATAATTGTTTAGGTTGTGAAATGCTCGACATCCACGTATGTGATATGACATAATCGGTTAACATGAACGAAAATATAATGCATTAACTCGAGGTCTGATTTCTGCATTATTAATAACCGTATATATTTTATATTCATATTGACATATGATGAATTATTTGTACTTGATTAATAAAATAAATAATTTAAACACTCATTTGTATTCAGTTGTCCGAATTATGGCCCCCATGTGGCTTACCGTATTATTATTATTTTTATTTAGCCGTCATTTAAGCAAAACACGTGAGTTTGCCCGTCATTCTAGTTTAGAATATACTAAGTGCTTTATATTACGACACATTTAAACACGTTTACCTTTGTTTACAACGAACGCGTTGTCCATGTAGCGCGTGGCGGCGAATACAACCAAAATATCATTATTGAATATTCATTTTAACAGGAATCGTAAAAAAGTTAAGCCAAGCAACATTATCAGAAAACCGATTCCAAATATGTTCTTATATGGCATCGCATGTAATTATTGTAATACAGGCTTATTTCCGCACATCGGACAAAAAGGACTGTAATAAGATTGCACATGAATACGGTCTCACATTTCCGGCGTTTGCCAACAGTCGCTAATTAATATTCACGATAGTCTCGGTCAGCCTGATTAACTATTCATCGACTTCTGCATGAATGCTGCTAGTATTAAGTGATTTGAGATAATACATGGATTTGTGTAACTGATATGTAACTGAGTTTTACGCTTCGCCAGTATATATGTATACTATTAACATGCTTGGCGAATATGCCACACGCAAAATACGACAATTACAATTGTATTAGAAGTCTGATGTTTAAATCAATTAAAATTTATTTATTTATTTATTTATTTATTTATTTATTTATTTATTTATTTATTTATTTATTTATTTATTTATTTATTTATTTATTTATTTATTTATTTATTTATTTATTTATG